ATTTATAGTGCAAAACCTTATTCTCTTATGTGTTTTTTATCGATGTGGGATATATTGATTAGAAAAAATTGACAGTTTTTAGTGACGAAATATATTTTTTAGTAATGAATTATTTGGTCATCATTGATTATGTAAGATATATGTGACCAATATTAGAATTTTGTCATCATTGTAATGTATTATAGTGATGATTTTTATCGACAAAAGCTTATTTTATCTCTATTAACATTTTTCGATAATAAAATATATTTTTTATGATGAATTTTTTTGTTTTTCATTAAATATGTATGCATCTATGACTAATTTTTTAGATCTGTCACAATTGTGATTAGTTATAGTGATGATTTTAAAATTTATCACAAATTTCTGTCACTAAAAACCATTTTTCTTGTAGTGTATTGAGGAATTTGCCTTTTCTCAACAAATAGAATTTAAGAAAATTTGAAATTTGTCTTCAAACTTTATTCTTTTATTTTAAAATTTCAAATATAACAACTGATAGATAATATCATAAGCGCTCATTTCTCTTTATTTTTCCAATACTTTATTGTTTCAAGTTCATGTTCACAAAAATCCCTTATCATCCTCAAAAGCCCTTCCACAAAATTTGAAGCAGCATCATGTTGATTTGGTGGAATAATACGCTTAACCTCCATTGTTTAATAATATATTCCATTAAGCAAATAAAGCACCCTTCCTCTTTCTCTCTTTAGTTGATCAATTGGAGCCAATGCTTCCCTTAACTATCCATTTAATCCTCTTACCTTTACTTCCAATCCTATTATCTTCTCATTTTGATGATCTTGTCGTATTTGCATTAATGTCAATTTTTTCCTTCATCAATTTTTCATTATTTTAAGCATCCCCAAGTTGTTGCAACAATTGTAATTTATTATCATGCAAATTCTCTACTTCATTCTCAAAGCCTTTGAGTCAATCAATTTAATCCTGCTACTGGTTCACATGAGTCTTTAAACCGGCATTTTGGTCCTTGACTTGATTGAGTTCATCCTCCAACTTGTTTCTATCATGTGTTAGATGATGATTTTGCATTTCTTCCTTCTGGATGATCCTTCTTAATTTTTTAAGAGTTTAAGCATGCCTATCAACTTTTTTCTCTAGCGCTTCTTTTCAAAAGCTATAGAATTCTTTTCTTTAATCAATTTTTGCTTCTCACCTTCCAAAAGATAAATACCCATATTTTTCTAACTAATTTCCTTTTCATGCTTGACCCTCTGAGCACATGACAAACCTTCTAATTTTGTTATTCTTTTCTTTAAGTCCACAATAATAGTTGCTTTAATAATAGGAATGTTGTAAGGGATAACTATGTCTTGAAGCCAAACTTTTCTCCATTTTTCATACTCATAAGTGATTGAAATCTTATTCCTTGAGAAACAAACTTCAAATTGTGACCACACTTCTTTGGCAAAGTTAATTTGTTTAATTACTTGAGTATCAAGAGAATAATTAAACCCATATAAAGAGATACCATCTAATAATGGTTTACTTTGTCTATCTCAAAATTGCCTCATCACCAATGCTTAACTATAGCTAATAGCTCATCAATCACCTAACAATGGAATCCAATTATGGCCATGTGGAGGATAAACGTAATCAATAGACTTCAACCACGTCACACACCATGATGTGTCTTCATATTTCAAATTCAAGAATTGTTGATGCCATTGGTCAGCCATTTTCTTATTCGATTGATTCTTTTTTTGCAAAGTTCCAAACTCCTTGATTGTGGAGAAATTTATCCTTTAATTCCCCAGATTTCATTTATCTTCATAATGCAACTGTCTATGAATTCTAAAGTAAATTGCAACTTATTTAATTGAAAGTTAACAAGATCTGGAGCATAAATTTCTGAACTCATTACTGGGCGATTGAACAATAACTGAAAATATTCTTCAATGGTGGGTACCAACTCAAACTCAGGAAAAACAAAGCAATGAAGATGCGGGACAAAATATCTTAGGCTTGCCCTAATGATTCTCAATCTAGTTCTATTTGCAACACATCAGCTATTCTGCCAAATTTCTTATCAAACCTAACTTTGTCAAGATTACCTAGACTATTCCAAGCTGTAATCAAGTCTTTTACATAAGGTCTATTGGTCAGCACAGAGAATCCATCCTTGTGTGACTTGTTCTTCTTGGATAACGGTGGACATTTTAGCTTTAAATTCACAATTTTTCCCTTACTATCCTTTTTCTCCGAAGAATCCGTGTGTAAAGTAATTAATTACCTATTTATTAAAGAAAAAAATAGTTAATAAATGTCATACCTCTTTGTCGAAGTCCTCACACCTAAGAAACACAAGAACATTGCAATAAAATATTCCCTACGTGTCCTATGTATAGGGTTCTTAAACTTTGAAGGTGGTTTACTAGGCTGGCCATCCTATGGTTAAGTTTTATCTAAGACCATTACATGTGGTTTCCTAGTGAATCCTATACTATCAAGCTTTTTCAACTATTAACTCCTATGAAGTCAACAATTGCTAACTCCCATAAAGTCAACAAGAAGCATTTCATGACCTAATACAATAGCAGAATTATGGCTGGCAAGCCATATTAACCCACAAAATGAACCTGAAAGAGATAAATCCCACTTCACAAGGAAAGCATTGCACTTTGCATTGTTCCATAAGTTATCCATCTACCTAAAGGTGAATTCACCTCATCAAGGACAAAATGATATGTAGGTGAGGTGTGTGAGGGAGCATCCAAATAATATTAACATAAAGAAAATAATAACAAAAAATATTAAATAAAATAACTAAATACAAAAAGAAAAAACCTTACAAGGTACTCCATGCCAAGTGCAAAATGAAAGTTAGAAATTGAAAACCCCCAAAAATTAAAGTATAAATGGCTTGTCCCCTCAATGTCCTTAGTAGAGTTGCCAAAACTATTAATGTGCCAAAATGGATGGAGTTGCCATCTATCCAAAGAAGGTGGGATAGATCATCAAAGTCTACGTAGAAATTCACTAGGATTAGAGGGTTGGTTAAGCGTGGGGAAAGTGTTGGCACCCCATAACTTCTATATAATATGGTTACCACATATTTTGATTTTGGGAAATTTTCAATTTTTATCAAAAAATGATAATTGCCAAAAAATAAAAATTTGTCATTTGTCTTTTTGTTTTTTCATTTTTGTTTTTCGTTTCAATTTTTTTCAATAATAATTACCAAGAAAATAAAAAAGAAATCACTTCAGAAAAATAAATAAATAAATACAGTCTACCATTGTCTTCTTTTCTTTCTCGTTT